GTGCATAACATTGGGGGCTAATATCTGTTTTGCCGATTTTGAAGAAAAGAGGATAATGGTTGACGAAGAAAAAAGGTTGAAAGCCGTCGATGATGGAGCGGATAGAATTTAGCTGAGAATTCAGATATTCGTAGTGTATCAAGCCAAATTTGAAAATTTTCGTCGCACCATCAAAATTCGCCGCAGATCTGTGTTGCGCGCGCAATGCGTGCGGCGCCAACTGGTATAATAACAGCAAAAATCAATATAATTCAACGTACACAAGCCTGCACAGCATCCGGCGAGGACCGATCGTGAGCTTGCGTTATGACGCGCGGTGCGGAGATTGCGCCAAAATTGCGTTTTTTCCTTGTATTTGTTGTAACGCTGGGATGTTAAGGCACGCTTCTCAGAATCAGGAATTTAACTTGTCAGATCTTTCCTTCTGGAAAATCCTTCTCGGATAAGGGTACTGGTTCATCCACAATGTGAACTATTGCACCATATTGTCTCTCCCTCTCCACCCCACTCTACCCTTCTCCTAAATAACTAAGCATAGAAATTTATAGGAACAAGTGAAAAAACCGCTAAGTAAAAAGCAAAGGATGTTTCAAGGCGCAAAAAGTACCTAGAGAGTATGCTCGATTTTTTAGAATACGGTAGGCGGCATTGTGTTTTGATGTCAAAGGATGTACCCCCTTCAAAAAGCGAGAAAGTGTCGGGTGCAGACCATGCACCACAAGTGACGACGGCCTTCACAAAATGTTAATGTTTTCTGCCAATGAAATGATTAGCCTGTTGCAGTTGTATTCTATCGATTGTCACTAATTACAACTATCATTTCATCAGCTATATCTGAAAATTCTAACCAGATATTTGGAGGCCGACGTCAGTTTTGGTGTCTGGTCTGCACTCGACACTTTCCCGCTTTTTGAGGAGGAGGTAACGTTGATAGAATTACTTGTAAGCCTAGGCTGAGGACTTATAGCGGTATATATTTTTTCAATTCCGAAATTTCTTCCACTCTTTGGGTAATTCACAAGCGAATTGAAGAGATAAACCGAAATCTATATGAAAGGAGAAATCCCTCTTCGTCTACTTGTTAGCCGAAATTTTGTAACTTGAGCACCGCCTATGGATAATTCCTTAGAAACAGTGGTGTACTATTCATACAACATTACAAAATACTGGGTCTCATCCAGTTAAGGGGAGGGGGCATTGTGATGCAACGTCAAGTGGCTGCTCCCACCCCACCCCCTAGAACTGCTTCACTCCCCCTGGCTTACGGGGTCCGTACTTCAAGAAACCTGTGCGCCAGGGGGAGTGTAGGCAGTCTAGGGGGGTGGGGGTGAGGGCAGCCACTTGATGCCCCCCTTACTGGATGAGACCCAAATAAACTTATCAAGTACCTTATTCCAGAAATCGAGCACACTCCTCCTCGCTGTCCCGAGACTTCTGTCAAGCAAAGGATGGAGTGTCCCTACTTTTCGTAAAACAAGAGCGTCAGGTGTAGACCACACTCCACAAAAGACGACGACCAAGAATAACGGCACTATTCAACTATTACAACCCCAAAATCTCAAAATTTTATATTTCGTTGAAACTTAGCCTATAGGGGTAATTCGGTACCCTGATTGCGAAAATGACATTCATTTTTAGGCTTAGGAGATAGGGAGACCCGGGATGGGTAAATCAGGCACCGTGTGACAAAGATGAAGCGTGTGAGATCACAGGGTGAGGTGGCTCACTCACTCGTAGCCTCCTCTCCCTAAAGCTTAGTCCTGATCGCGATCTAGTCACTAGGAGGGCGCAGACGAAGAGAATAAGGCGCTAAATGGAGCTAGCGCCAAGAATGAATGTCATATTCGTAATCAGGACACCAAATAACCCCTACCCAGAAGTTTACATCGAATTTGGTGAAAACAACTGTCGTGACAAGGTGACGCCAACTGGCGCCAAATGGCGCCAGCGCCAAAAATGAATGTCATTTTCGTAATCAGGGCATCGAATTACCCCTATAGGCAAAGTTTCGACGAAAAATGAAAATTTTGAGATTTTGGGGTTGTAATAGTTGAATAGTGCCGAAATAACAAATGCAGGGAATAATGAAACAGTGTTTTTTGGCAGTCGTAAGTTATGGTGTGTGGGGTGCACTCGACGACCTTCTCGTCCAAAAATAGAGAATAGATGGAAAAGTATACGTTTTGTGCAGTGTTAGGACTTTAGGACTATGTCTTCTAAGAAAATAAACAAGATAATAGTGCACAAGTGTGAGAGCTCTCAGACACCACTACAAAACGCTGGATTGCTTAGAATCACGGCTGGCAGAAATCCTGAAATTCCTCCCCCATCTAGTTTTGCACCCAATATAGCAAAAGCTTGTACCTGAGGCAACAGTCTGTGCGATGCTTTGTAGGAAAACTCGTATAATACTTCTAGTAACGTCTTTGAATATCATAGAACCCTAAAATGAGTTGGATTGAAATGGGAAGAATAGTTCAAAGAAGAGCGTGTGTTTGTGTGGGACAACGATCGATACGAACAGAGGGCATGCGATGACCACGTGAAAAAACGGAAAATTACAGCGATCTCGAGCTGGGAACCCTACAACACTTCTCAAGCAAATAGATCTATATTGTTAAAGTACAGCTATGCAAATGATGGACGCTGGGAACGCATCGATCCGCCGACGATACGCTGGGAAGGCCCAGCCTCGTTGGGAACAAACCACAATGACGTCATTTCCTTTGCCCGAATATGGCAGGCCTGTTTGCATGGCGAGAAAAAAAAACCGAAACCGCACATGTGGAAGGTGTGAACGAGGGAACGCCAGTCTAATGAAGGCTACCGCACTTGACTGAATGCCAAGTAACGAGAAATCATTGGAACGAGGCCATGCGGCAATCTAGGAATCGATTCGTGAGAGAATGAAGTTGTTCGCAGCTGTTTGCTAGGATATCGCTTGGAGCACATTTGTTAGTCATCAAGTCATCCGTGCCTTAAACTTCTTTTCTTTTCAATTACATACGAAACAGCAAAGTCACGAAGATCAGAAAAAAGTTCTGTTTTGCGAATTTGGTCAATCTTAACAGATCGGTGTTGAATGATTGAGACCCGTATGGCTTACAACTAGCATCAACTACAAAATTGAAGGTGGATCAATAGCTAAAAGACCATCGCGGAAACAACGCGCTGTTGAGGTTCGTTCGAACAGAAGGGGTACCCCCCAGGAGGCCCGTCGCGCGGCAAGAAGGCAAAGTCAGCGGACGAGTCGCGCGCGTACTATAGGGATTTCGCGTCAAGTTAAATAGAGTGTCCCATTGCACGTCCTACATCGCACACCACGCGCTGCAACTCGTCCGCCGACTCTGCCTTCTTGCCGCGCGACGGGCCTCCTGGGGGTACCCGAAAATGAGTACGTCCGCGTCAGTGCAGGTCCACTACTGCCGGACGCTCCGAGTCTGAACCGGCTTGCCCCAACGCGTGTAACTTTTCTCTTGATTAGTCCTAGCCCTTCTATGTATTATGATGTTTATTCTATGTTCACAAACGTCACTTTGGTTCGTTAATCGGGGTCCACTATCAAAATTGGACTGGACGACCTCCACCACTCAGAGGGTCACAGAGCTGATTCTTCATCAAAGTTCAACTTCAATCCTCTCCGACTCTACCCTGACTTTAAAAAAAAAAAGGTCCGCTGAGCAGGAGGGGAGGGAGGAGCCAATATGTGCAGAGCAATCAGAGCAGAAAAAGTCGATCCCGTGGAATTCCGAAAACTTCATAGAAAATCGGCACCTTTCCAAAAACCCTACACATTCACTCATTCCCACACCTTCCTTAAACGCCACCCATACCTTCCTTACGCACACCGATTACCCTCATATGTTACTCCTCCGTTGAGCCAAATATGACCCCTCCCCGCCCCACCCCCCTCACTTCCATTACAGAAAAATCACCGGCGTCGGCTCACTAAGGACGCTGCACAGCTATGATCTTCCCTGATATCCTCGTATATTACGTCTTGCTGTGCTCTTCCACAAGGGGGAGGGAGGGGGCGGGGAAAGAGAGGAGGGGGTAGTTCGGAACAAAGCCCAGGCATTCAAAACCATGACTAAGCGAAAGTTGCTCGTCCACCCAATTTTTGCCAAGTGAAGTTTTTCACTCACCTCATTGCAACCTCACCCCCCCCCCCCCCACCTTGTCCCCAGCAAAAAGTTGGACAGGCACGGCACACGTATTGCACCCTCGCATCCCTACTTGCCAGAGGAGTGTCCAAGTCGAATAAGGTCACCACAAAAATTAAAATCAATGCAAACATAGAACTTTATTAATGTTACAACACTCTTGTGTGCACACACTTCCACTAGAAGAGAAATCCTGTGCGGCATTCAATTTCTTAAAGAAATGGACAACCATGTATCGACAAATACCAGTACGACGGATATGTGCTACTATTAACTACTATATGGGTCACCGAGTTTTTTCAATTGTATGAACCGTTGGGAGTAGTACCTCGGTGTCACAAAAGAACCGTCTAACAAGAAATAACATCTGAGCAAATTGGATTTGGGGTGAAGACCGTAGAATACAGACATGTACATGGAAGACACTACGATCACGTTATTGCGCTTTCCATTGTTGTCACTGCGCCAAGTGTTGCAAATAAGCGCGCGGTCGCGCAACGCCTAAGCGTCACGGGTTGCAACGCGTCTGAGTGATCGAATACTTGACAACAATATCTGCACAACGCGATCATATTGTACCTCTCCTCTGATCCTCTGACATTAATACGTCTGGGCAACGGCGGTTGCTTGGTTGGAGAGAGATAAGGATAGCTGGAACAGCCACAAACACACAACTCCAAGTACAAGGAGAAAAAGCAATAAAGGACGTCATGATCGTATAAAATCCATCTTCAGCTACGAACAATAGTATTTACAGCAACCTGGTTAAATGACGTAACACTGCCTCAATCAGTTTCATCAATTTTTTAGGAGGCGTTTGGAGTTTGTCTACCGCCACTATGGGAGTCGAAACAGCAGAGCTGGTTCGCTGTCCTGCGGAGGATCGTCAAGTCGTCGGTAAAGGTCGATTCTGTTCTGAGCGCTCATCGAAGTATTCACGAACAGCGGTCGATCAATGGGAACTCGATCTAAACAATAGGTTAAGTTCGATAACATTACGCAAAACAAAAAGATAAAAAACTTTTGTCGTTGACAAACCATTTCTTAAGATGCGCCGCGCGTTCCGATTCTATTCAGAATCGGAGTGGCATTTGAATGGGATTTTTCCTATGTATACAATGTCTTGCGGGGGCCAATCGGGGTAAAAATTGTTATTTTTTCCCTCGAGGCTGCAAGCAATGAACTGACCCCGGAGGAGTACAAGGCCGATGTCAGACTTTGCGAATCGCGCGATTCGCTAGCGTCCGCGGTCGCGTTGCGGTACCAGCCAATTGAGTGATTCACTGGCCGCGACGCGACCGCAGACGCTAGCGAATCGCGCGATTCGCAAAGTCTGACATCGGCCTAAGGCATAGTTGGCCTAAAAGTAAAGCATAGTTGGCCTAAACGCGTACGGTCCAGAATTTGATCGCCGAACCGTGAGCAGGGTAGGAAAGTACACCAACTAATGCAGAAGTACAGGCTCGCTTCTTTTTCTAGTGACGGACTTCCGATCACTCAAGGGCCACTCAACAGTGAGTAAGAATCGCTTCAATAAGCAAATACGTGGATGAGTAAACTAAGAGTTTTTACATGGCTTGGCTGCGTGAACTGTTCTAGGCGGTGCCGGGAGGTGATGCTCACAGCTGCGTGGGGAAAGTACATGCAACACACACGGATGATCACGTACACAAAAACCGTTCCAATAGACTGAGCTTCCGGCACGTATTCCAGTCAGATGTTGAGAACGGGAATTACCTATTTAATCAGATGTGGATTAGCCGCCTTGCTAGGTCGACTAGCTTACAAGTTTGTTAGAAAGGGAATATTCGAATTCATCTCATCTTAGGCGATACGCTACTACGAATAGGAGAGTTTTGCGTAAAGGTAGCATGTGCAAAATATAAGGACAGCTTAATCGAAGTGTGGTTGACTCCCAAAAGGTTCATTCTGGTGCGAGGGAATTAACCTCTTGACGGCCGTTGTGCGTGCATTGCTTCATTCTTTTGAATTTTTTCATCAATATCCATTAACTCTCCAACAATTTCATTATTAGTAATGAGCGCATTATTTTGCGATTCCGATAATGTATACGGGTAGTTTTGAAACATTAAAAATGCCAAATAAACCACGAAAAACGAGTCGCTCCGAGTGGCCCACCGGCGGGCCACATGGTCGTCAAAGGGATAAAGAGAATCAACCCGCAGTTCAGCAGTGTAGTGAGGAATAATGCTCATAATCTATCGTTTGCGAGGTTTTTACACCGCGAAGATAATTTCAGCACATATGCTTATCACACACATTTACATAGGCACAGAGCGCTCTGGCAGCACGGGAATGGCTAATAAGGTCATCTGACCAATCACAGGCATCGCTGCTACGCACTATCAGAAACCAGCAGTAGACATTTGAGCTAGTATTTGAGCTTCTCATAATTCACTCCTTACTAAAAGCACCTCCACCACTAGATGTGCTGGTTCAGGAAGCTCCTTAATCACCTGATAACCTTCACATTTCAGAACCGAATCGTAGCTCCATACTAGGGTAGCGACCGTTAAAGGGCTCGGTTCTATTTCATGGATGGCTGACCCGCGTCAAACTCCAATGCAAGCTAACCATTCAGCTCTCCATACTTTAATAGGGAAACCAAAAAAAGACAGTGAAAACTGGAAAGACTATTTCAACAGGTTATAGAACACTTGTTATGTTATTCTGGTATTGAAGCATTTCAGCATTGACTGCGCCCTGTAAAATGAAGTCCCTAGCTTTGGCAATTTGGTGATTTGGAGTTTGACAGATACTGGTGCAGCACCACCCGCTGATTCTGTACTGGCTCAAACAACAGAAACTGGCCCAGATCAAAGACTGCTTTTGCTTTCAGAAACGTTTTTAAGAGAAGAATCTCAATCCAACTAACGCCATTGTATTTGAATACATTATCGGCGAAGCCTTGCTCCACGAACCAATCGCTTTCTTTTTAGAGTAGTAATTATTGGTACGTGAGGTAGGAATCAATGAACCTACATCTAACTTCAAGCTGGCCGATTTTTTTTTGAATTTCAGAATTTTTCCAGAATTTCATGCAAAAAATGTTCCAGAAAAATGAAACATTTCACTCAGAAGGAGTTGGGCTACTTTCAGGAAGAATGAGTTTCCTTATTTCATTACAGCACTTCAAGTATGAAGAATATGTACTCCTAGGCGAACGTGATGTGGGAGAAAATGGCGCCGCATACCAAATGCGCGGTCAGGGGATCAAGTCCAGGGTCGTACTCCGTAAACTCCATCCAATCAGCCCATACCTCCAGGGTAGCTTTATTGGTACAAGACTTGTCTGGGAGGTTAAAATACGGTATATCGACTAGCCCCCAAGTCATTGTAAAGGACAAAATACATGTAAAACATAGCTACAATTCTGAATGGAAGTAGGATGTGTGGCTCTTTTCAAGAGAAAATTGATGAACGCCAAATAATTTATTCCTTGACCTTTAAGACTTTTTTTGCAGCGATCTCAGCATTCAAGTGGAATTGCACTGGATCACACAATCCTGGATTGGATTCTCTTGGTATTAGCTCGAGGTTTACGTCAGAAGCTGTTCAGAATCTTTATGACGTATCGACCAGGAGGAAATGCGTTTACTGTGCTCCCAAATTGACTTTAACTGTAAGTGAACTATTGCTCCAAGGCGACTCATATGTGAAAAAATGGGACGATTTAACCCCCTTTCTTCGGCTAAAGTCCCAAAGAGTTACAATCGTTAAACCTTCCCCTGCACCTCTATCAAATCCCAAAGAAGAGTGCCGACTGGAAGGGATATAGTACGCTTTAAAATGAAGAATCAAACTTCGTTAAGCTTTCCGGAATGTTGTTCGAACTTATAAATACGCACCCATCATCCCAAAAAATCTTTCTCCTACCCGTCCAAAAAATATACTCGGCCACATCCCCAAGTCACGGGCTTACCTTCCAACGGGACAAATACGACCTCCCTCCATTGAAGATCTCTCGACCGTGTCCCCCCCCCCCGGGGTTGTGTCCCACATGTGACAGCTCACCCTAAACGCAGAGAGGATCCATATTTTTAAATTTCTCCACTTCTATCTCCATTCAATGGTGCAGCTCACGTCTACTTATTCGGGATTGCCATAAAAGAGAAAGTGAGTTCACCTTGATAAGAATACTCAAGGGTTTGCTATCAGCGAACATCTCTAGCCTTTAATGTTACCCTTGCTTTTTCCAATTCACTGTATTTTAGGTCACGTTGTCCCTTGGCCTCTCTCTTTCTATCTCCCCCTGTTGTACTCTCTCTCGATACAGCTCTCCCACGCCTTCATCGTAGACAACGCTATCGTTCCTGTCTTATCGCTCGTAGACGTTTTCGATTCGATCAAATCCATGCCAACGAGTGAAGGGAAACGATACGAGGACGACAAATTCAATTCAACGATGACAATTTTTTGGAAGTTGTAAGCGCATTTCATCCGAACACTTTAAAATTGAATTTTTTTTTGTTACGACCGTGGTCAGTGTGTTTATTCGGCCGAATTGCTGGCGCGTAATTTGTGGAAAAGACGAGCGCGGAACGAAAACTGCTGAAAAACACATGCCGGCTCACCTTGACCGTTTTGCAAGAACGATGACATATTCGATCCGACGCTTGGCGTATTCTAAACGAAAAATGATTTCAACGATTACAAAAAACCATATGAAGCGATTTAACCGATGCCTCTCCCACCCCTGAATTTTTTGGAAGGTGAAAAATCAAAAATGACAGCGGATAAAGGGGACTTTCCATAGGGTCAACCGTCTCTCTGTCAATTCCTGACGATTAGAGGTCATGCTCGCGACTTTTCAAAGGATAGGGGTTTTCGCTATAAATGGGATTGCATTTTTAAAAGGTAAGGGGCGAAAAATTTGCTGGCTCTCTAATAGTATTTCACGAAAATTTGGGACTTTCGGAGATGAGTGAGTAGGCTTCAGGAGGACCCGGACTACCACTACGATAATACAGGATGGATGAACAGAGTGATGGTCGTATGGGACCCATTTAACCCAAAAATTATTATTTTACCTCACTATTACGATTGACTTGTAAACAAATAAAAAAAAACCCCTGCCATCGGTCGAAGGGGTCGGCGGATTACTTGAACTCGGTCCTCTCTGCCGCCTCAGTTTGGTGCTCCCGCCTACGCTCTACGCTCTCTCTCTTAGACGGCGACTTATGGCTACTGTGGTTTCACATTGAAGCTTTTGTCATTATTAGAACGCCCACCCTAGGAGCACCCCCCCCTGAGACTTAGTTCTATAGCTTCCATCTTCTTCCTAGGGATTTGGAGCCCAAGACAGGCGCCGTTCTCTAATCGTCTGTTCTCTCCGCCGATCGTGGCAGGACCTACAAAAAAGTTCAGGTAACCGGCAAACCAATCCAAAGGAGGGCCTCCTGACAACGGAACTGTCCAAGAAAATAGTTGACTTACGCTAGGTACCAGTGAATACTTACCTCGTTACGTTGAAT